CACATTATGTTGTGATAAAACAAAGATCAAGATCATTTATGTTAAGAATTACTGTATTAAAAAACCAAATTTCTCTAATATAAATATTAAATATTTTTGTCTAATAAGTTTGGTTCAAAAACTCTAAAAATGGATCTAAGTAACATTTTTTTATTAAAATTCAACCTAAGACAAAGCCACCTATTAATGTGATATGTATTTAATTTATGTTCCCCGCGTTTAACGCGGGTCATAATCTAGTTATTTTATAAAAATATGATATAGTCTTATACAAAAGGAGTAATGAAAAATGTTTTAACGTCCATAGAACATACAAACTAGTATAAGTATTTAAATAATAAATACATATAATCACTATTGTTATTTATACAAGTTGTCATGCAATAAAAATAAAATAAATAAATAAATAATAAAAGAATGAGTAAATAAAAATGACAAACATGAAGAAGTTACACGAGCATGATTCGTGTACATCTAAAGAGATAAGGAAATAGAAAATTTAAAATAGGCTAGGATGGCTATAAGCTAGAAGAAAGAAATCACCTGATACAATATTTAAATCTTTTCTTTTCTTCCCCTTCCATTCGTTACCCTCCCCCTCCCTCACAATTCTTTTATTTATTTATTTTTCTAACTAAATCATTTGAAAGGCAACTAGAACTAGCAAGTGGGATGGTGGAACTTGCAAATTGCAAGGTAAAAAAAAATCATATAAATTTTTTATCCTATCCAATCTAGTAGAAATTTAGCAATCTTCTCAGCCTCCCTCTTACCCCTATAAATGTCGATCCTTCCCCTTCATTTCTCCCTTACAAGTGCAGCCAAATATTCTCTATATTGTACTCAAACAACCATTAAAACTTAGCCAAAATTCTGCACTTTTCCGCACCTTATGAAACAACAAAATAGAAGCCAAAAAGAGGGTGTTGTCCCTCCATTTCCAGCCACTATTCCAGCCCCTTTTCACGTTCTTTTTGCTTAATATTCTCACCCTAAAATACCTCTAAAAGTTAGTTATTTTGCAGCACTAAAATAAGTATTCAAAACAGTAGCCAAACTACTCTTTTCTGGTATAATTGCTGTGATTTTCAAGCCACATACTTCCCAAAAGCATTCAAATCTCAAACCTCGGTGGAACCGGAAACATCCCGACTTCCTCGAACTAAATACCGTCACGCGACAAAAGTGAGTATCTACGGCCCCATTTAAAATATTTTAAATCATTTCCGGGGGCGAATACACACAACAAAATATGATATTTAAACTTATTTACACTTATTGGAGTTTATGTGCATCCATGTTATTTCAAGTCTATGTTTCATCTTATATTGACAATATACACACTTACAGTTATATTCTTAAACATATCACGACCATGTTATAAATAAATCCCATGTCAAAAATCTATATGAAATGATTTATAAAGTTATATTTTCATGGTTACGATATAAATAACTA